GGAAGAATTCTGCATTGTCTGCCTGGAGAGCTACTAAAAATCAAAGGAGGTCTGGCTGTCTTGTGTGTCTTGCCGGTCCTGGGCACATTCGGCCTGCACTGATGGCAGTGACATCTACATGTGCCACAATTGTGAATCAGACTAGAGTTTAACAGTTTATAAAATGTTGTTTTAAGATTATCAAATTATTTTAAGTAAGGCAAATCATTACGTCATTGTTTATAGAAATTATTAGTGTTTAACATGTCACACAACGTGTTCAATCGTTTAAAAAATACTAAGGATTTTATCTCCACATGAACTCATTGAGTTCTTCCATATCTTGTGCCATTTCATTAAAGTTTGGTTAAAGACTATTCTTAACAAAGTAAACTTTTCTTTTTTGAATGCGTGTGATGCCTGACATCTAAAAGAATTTGAACCATATACAAAAAAACTCTTAAGTAACATTATTTAACGAGTTCGTTTGCCCATAAATCTTTAAGATATTAGGTTAAACTTATTTGGCTTGCTGTCCGCTGGAGAGGGGCTCGATGAAGCAGCTTCAACTCGAGCTCTGATATACCCCCCAGTGGCTAAATGTAGGACCTGTTAATTAAAGGGCAAGGTACCTAAGATGAAGGTGGAGTTTGGGGAGGTGGAGGGATACTGGAACAGCTGATACTAGGGAGAGGTAAACGGCTGCTTATATACTCTGTTTGTTGATTGAAAGATTGGATGGGCTCGCTCCTCCCTAACTTACGTTTAGGAACTTCATTAAATACAACAGCAGTAAAGTGATTACTTTGAGGTAGGCTTTTATTTGAGATAAAGTGGGTTAATAGGAGTTATTTCTCAGTGTTACAATTGCCCCCTTGGCGGGGGCAATTGTAACACTCTGACTTCTTGCATTTAATTAAATATTTTAGTCTTGTTCTTTTAAGTGAAAATATATAAATTGTATTATTAATTAGTGCACATATATATGTTGCTTGTATCAAAAGATGACTAGTCTATCTCAAGTAGTTTGTGAGTTATTAAGGAAAATGTAAAATATGTTACAATTGTCCCCGGTCTCCCCCTACTCTGGGTTCGGCCCAAATTAAGAGCTCACAGCCCCTCCCCTCAGGCAGCACGCCAAATACCCATAACCTTTACATATTTAATTTAAGTGTGAACTTGTGAAATAGTTATTAATATATGGAGATATATTTTTATCTCCATAAGGGATAGAAGAACATATTTCTTAAGATGTTTTTGTTGGAATATTTGAGAACCTAACAATTTTTCAAGCATAGCATTTCATGAATCCTGAATCAATTTTGAAAGGGTTTCTAGAAGTGCAGCCTCATGTATCTTAATTTTTCCATGTTTCAGAAACGCGATGAGGGTCTGTTCAGATAATGATGTGTTTACCAGAAGAACCTGCTTCAGTTACTCACACCACAGAGATTTATTACATCTTAAAATTGTAAAATGATTGCTTATTCATTCTAAGTCAAACACCTCAGACAGTAACAAAGTATTTTAAACAAATACACACACATTAAGACCCAGTTTAATGAACATGATCAGATGCTGAACATCATTTTTGCAGATACAGTTTTTCATCTCTACAGCTCTGATTGTTTGATTGTGATTTAAACTTTTACAAAATATCAGTTTATCTTGATGAGACACACGTTTGAATCACACATTTGATGTTTGTCACTGATGGCATTGTCACAAGGTGACGAACCAGCAGCGGAACTATATATTCCACGGAGGAATGTTTCCGCCCGGAGCGCTTTCGACGCAACACCCAGCCAGCCTGGTATGCGTCGCTGCCATGGCAACAGCAGCCGCTGATGACAGAGTGACAGCAGGTGCGGCGCATCAAGGGGCTGTTTGATGATTGGGACACACAGCGCTTTGAAACAGATAAAAACCAAGCTTTGGGAGATCAAGAGGATATTAGTTCAGTGCAGTGTTCTGTGTTCGGTGTTCGGGTGCTGTGTCCTGACTTTGTTCCGTCGAGGAAGGCTGAGAGTTTCTGTGGGACAAATTGACTGGTGAGATCGACCCGCGGAAGGGAGTCCGCTACGAAAGATTGGGTGGTGTGGAACAGAGAAGCAGAGGAGAAGTCGCCTTGGAGATATCAAGTCCCCTTCTTGGGTAGAGATAAGTGCAAACCTTTTACTGGCCGTCTGGTATGTGATTTATACACCAAGATACTGTATATGAAGAGAAGCGATCTAGGAACAGGAGTCTAGACACCGTAATGAGAAGACAGCTGTTGTGATGCCTGATTGAGGTCGCTATATATTCTTCCGTCTTACTGTCCCTGCTGTTCAGAACAAGGAGGTGGGCTGTGGCCTTATATTTCACAGAGTGGTTGAGAGTGACGTGAGTTGATGCTGTGCCCCACCGTGTGTGTTTGAAGTGAAGTTACTGCATGCTTACTATACCGAATTATGTCACGTGCCCATCAGCCTTGCCCTGTGTTGCAGTTTGGAGTTGCTGAGGAAGAGATTAAGTGACGGTGGAATTTCAAAGCTTGCTGTGTTCTGATTCATCATTTATGCTGTTCTGAAGAGAGGATGAAATCCAGTTATCTGCTGTTCTGAATGTCCCCCATCTAAAGCTGCTGCCTTCTGTTCCATCATCACTGTTGTGGAGAGCGGAGGAAACCCAGGTATCTGTTGTTCTGAGTGTTGTACAGTCCAAGCCTGCTGTGTTCTGATTCTTCATTGATGCTGTTCTGGAGAACGGAGGAAATCCAGTTATCTGCTGTTCTGAGTGTCGCCCATCTAAGCCACTTGCATTCTGTTTCATCATCACATGTTGTGGAGAGCGGAGGAAACCCAGGTATCTGTTGTTCTGAGTGTTGTACAGTCCAGGCCTGCTGTGTTCTGATTCATCATTGATGCTGTTCTGGAGAACGGAGGAAAACCAGTTTATCTGCTGTTCTGAGTGTCCCCCAGCTAAAGCCGCTTGCATACTGTCCCATCCTCACTGTCGTGGAGAGCGGAGAAAACCCAGGTATCTGTTGTTCTGAGAGTTGTACATTCCAAGCCTGCTGTGTTCTGATTCATCATTGATGCTGTCCTGGAGAACGGAGGAAATCCAGTCATCTGCTGTCTGAGTGTCCCCCAGCTAAAGCCGCTTGCATACTGATCCATCCTCACTGTCGTGGAGAGCGGAGAAATTCCAGTTATCTGTTGTTCGGAGTGTTGTACATTCCAAGCTTGCTGTGGTTTGATTCATCATTGATGCTGTCCTGGAGAACGGAGGAAATCCAGTTATCTGTTGTTCTAAGTGTCGTACATTCCAAGCCGGCTGTGTACTGATTCATCATTGATGCTGTCTTGGAGAACGGAGGAAAACCAGTTATCTGCTGTTCTGCGTGTCCCCCAGCTAAAGCCGCTTGCATACTGATCCATCCTCACTGTCGTGGAGAGCGGAGAAATTCCAGTTATCTGTTGTTCGGAGTGTTGTACATTCCAAGCTTGCTGTGGTTTGATTCATCATTGATGCTGTCCTGGAGAACGGAGGAAATCCAGTTATCTGTTGTTCTAAGTGTCGTACATTCCAAGCCGGCTGTGTACTGATTCATCATTGATGCTGTCTTGGAGAACGGAGGAAAACCAGTTATCTGCTGTTCTGCGTGTCCCCCAGCTAAAGCCGCTTGCATACTGTTCCATCCTCACTGTCGTGGAGAGCGGAGAAAACCCAGGTATCTGTTGTTCTGAGTGTTGTACATTCCAAGCCTGCTGTGTTCTGATTCATCATTGACGCTGTCCTGGAGAACGGAGGAAATCCAGTTATATGCTGTTCTGAGTGTCCCCCATCTAAAGCCGCTTGCATTCTGTGTCATCAACACTGCCGTGGGCTTTCCGTATCCCCTGTATAGGGAAGAACCAACCGTACTCGAAGTACCCACCTGCTGTCTAGTCGACGCCCCTTTCACAGCCGTAAGCTTTCTGCATCCCCTGTATAGGGAAGAACCAACCGTACTCGAAGTACCCACCTGCTGTCTAGTTGACGCCCCTTTCACAGCCGTAAGCTTCCTGCATCCCCTGTATAGGGAAGAACCAACCGTACTCGAAGTACCCACCTGCTGTCTAGTCGACGCCCCTTTCACAGCCGTAAGCTTCTGCATCCCCTGTATAGGGAAGAACCAACCGTACTCGAAGTACCCACCTGCTGTCTAGTCGACGCCCCTTTCACAGCCGTAAGCTTCCTGCATCCCCTGTATAGGGAAGAACCAACCGTACTCGAAGTACCCACCTGCTGTCTAGTCGACGCCCCTTTCACAGCCGTAAGCTTCCTGCATCCCCTGCATAGGGAAGAACCAACCGTACTCGAAGTACCCACCTACTGTCTAGTCGACGCCCCTTTCACAGCCGTGAGCTTTCTGCATCCCCTGTATAGGGAAGAACCAACCGTACCCGAAGTACCCACCTGCTGTCTAGTCGACGCCCCTCTTCACCGCTGTAAACTTCTGTACTTGGGAGATCGAGAAGAGTACAGTCCGCTCAGAGCCCGAGAAGGATAAGCCGTGCTTAGAGTACTTACCTGCTGGTCAAATCCGCGTCCCCTCCATAGCCGAGAGCCTCGGCACCCGAAGAGTCTGAGGGGTTGAGTGGACCGAGTCCCCGCCTGTTGTCCAGCCGACGTCCCGGCGGCCACTGGATGCTGGGGAGGAAGGAGGAGTTTTAATTAGGATATACAAATTCTTTTAATCAATAAAGCCTGTTACATTTTACTTTTCTTGTCCGCCTGGTTTCTGGTTTGCTCCTCAGTGGTACATTTTAAAGGGAGGGGGTAGATCCAGTCGACTCTCCCGACCTTTGACAATTACACACCGATGATAAAAATTAGTGTGAAACTAAAAACACTGACAGTGATTAGAGGAAAATGTATGATGTGTTTGATCAATAAGGACGAGTGTCATAATTCATAATAATATGTTTACGGTTTCACTCTTGATCATTATATGAAGATCAGAATAAAAGCAGCTGTTGATTGTGTCTCATCAGCTCCTGTGACTCTGGATCCAAACACTGCAAATCCACATCTCGTCCTGTCTGATGATCTGACCAGTGTGAGATGGAGTGAGAACAAACAACCACTTCCTAATAATCCAGAGAGATTTGATATCTATGAGTGTATTCTGGGTTCAGAGGGTTTTAACTCAGGAACACACTGCTGGGATGTGGAGGTTAAAGAGAGTTCAGCCTGGAGTCTTGGAGTAACTTCAGAATCAAACCAGAGGAAGGGATGGGATTTCTATAACACTGATATCTGTTGGGCGCAGTACGGACTGGGTGAGCGGTTTGGCTTTCCTGTTGAACAGGATCTTGAGCGTGTGAGAGTTGATCTGGACTATGACAGAGGAACGGTGTCATTCTCTGACCCTATAACTAACAAACATCTACACACATTCACAACCACCTTCACTGACACAGTCTTTCCATTCTTCTATACTCTTTACCCTCTAACGATCTTACCAGTCAACAGTCAGTAAATGTTACCCCTGTAGGTCTGGATTGAGCTGCTTTCATCTTTTCCAATATTTGTATGTCTAAATCTTCTCAGAAATGCTCTTAAAGGGAGAGTTCACCCAACAATGAAAATTCTGTCATCAAATACTCACTCTCCAATCCCGTATGAGTTTATTTTTTTCTGTTGAACATTAAAGAAGATATTTTGAAGAATGGGGGTAATGGCTGGTCCTCATTGACTTCCATGGTATTGTTTCCATACAATTTGGTCAATAGGGATCAGAAACTGTTTGGTTACTGTGGCAAGCAGGACGAGGCAGAGGGCTGTTATTGATAATGAGCATCAAATGCGCTACACACCGGGCTCGTATCTCACGAGGAGCTACAGAAGCGTAAAAGGAGGAGCGATGACAGTGAGAGAGTACCAGGCCTGGATTTATGTTTTGTTTGTGTGTGCGAGGCAGTTGTCCGTGAGGGGCTGCTGCTTTCACTTTGGTTTTGTGTTTGTTTTATTATTAAACTGTTCAACGTTTGCCGGTTTCTGCCTCCTCCCCACAACAATTAACCTTGCTACAGTTAACCATATTCTTCAAAATATTTTGTGTGTTCAGCCGAAGAAAGAAACTCACAGGTTTAGAACGACATGAGGGTGAATGAATGATGACAGAATTTTCATTATTGGGAGACAATCCCTTTAACTAGTTTGTACACAGATATAAATTGGGCCTGCAAAACTAACAGTTTTTGTTTTTATTATTTATGTTTGGGGATGAAATAGAAAAGCATCGTTAATCACACATTTTCCTATAATAGTCTTTATGAAGTTTGATTGGTGAATATCTAGAGTGAGAATCAAGTTGCAAAAAAGAAACTCAAATATAAGAAAGTTTTTATTTGTCTTGCGTGTCAAATACGTACTCTTCCTTTTAAGTCCTAATTCCTTTGTCTCTGCCGCGGGTCCTCGTTGTAGTGTTTAGTCGTCCGCCATGATGCCAGCACTAAATGCTGCCCATTTGCGGCTGTGTTTTCATGGTTATCTCATCATCTTTTTGAGGGTTTGTACATACAATTTTGGGTAATGGCCTGTCTTGTGTCTGAATGCATTTGAGTCCGTTTAAGGGTGTTTAAGCTCGACCTGTTAACGGGTCGGAAGGGTCAACAGATTGACCCCGATGTGTTTTGGGTCATGTTTAATACTGAATGCAGGCGATGATGGGGTGGCAAACTAGCAGAACCGTCAGACCCACCGTACGGAAGAGCGATGCTACCCGTGTCCTCGGTTGTTTTGACGATGATCCCGAACAGAGATCAATGTTTTCAACACCACAAAAGCCACGTTCACAGATTAAAATCATTTTGATTAAAATAAATAGGGGTTCTCAATCACGCTAAAGCCTCAAATGATAGGTTTTAGCCTGTTGGGTCATTTTATTGGTGTTACGTGTATGTTCAGTTTGGTTTCGTTTACTGTGTTCTGTCCCTGTTTTGCCTGCCTGTGTTCCCTAGTTAGTTTCCTTGGTTGTTAATTAGTTCCCCTCACCTGTTTCTGTTCAGTTGATTACGTTCCCTGTGTAATTAAGCCCTCAGTTTGCTTTGGTTCATTGTACAGTATTGTCTTTACTTTACGTGTTTGTTCATTAGTTTGCTCCTGAAATCTTTTTTAAGTTACTCTGTAGATTAATAAAGAAGTGTTCATTTGGATTATCCTGCGTCGTGTGATTATTACAGCCACAGCGTGAAAATTGGGTTATTTGTAATATTTTTCCCCAGATGCTGGTTGTATATAAACAACACAGAAATGGTTGTTTTTAACCCAGCATTTTTTAGGGTGATGTTTAGTAAAAAAAAAGTGGAAAAATAAAGAAATAATACAAACTAAGATTATTAATTAATAAAACATTTAGTAAAACATTTTAAATAAATAAATACAGTATAACATTACATAATTAATATATTTACCAAAAAATATTTAGACAAATTAATAACATACATTTTCTATAGTATAAACTGGGTCTTTATACATGAAATTACATGTCTTTCAATTCTAACCCATAACTGGCCCTGCACTGGGCCTGAATAGGTTTTGGTTACAGATCTCTCAATATCTCAGCATTTTCAAGTATTACAGACTTTATTTCTCTCATACTAAGGTTCTTATTGAGAATTAACAGAGGTTTAGATGTTGATGTTTTATTGAAAATAATAAAGTTTGATGTCACTATTATGGTGATCAGGTGCCAGGATCATGGTTTGGTCTCTTGACCCTTGACTTTTTAACTTAAGTTTCTCTTTTGCTGACTTAGCTGTATGTTTCTGATATATGTTTATTATAGCAAAATTGCAAGGGAAACTTAGACCAGATGATGTTGGTCATTTTTTAGTGATGGTGTAGTCAACACCTGTAGTTATCTGATTCACTAATACCAGAGTCTAATCTCTGATTAAGTTGTTTAATACTAAATTGTTTATTTTTCATGCCAATCCTACAGCAGAAATTTCTGTTGTGATACTATGAAATATTTTATAAAGTCATTATGCAGAAACTATCTTGACAGAGTCATGTACACTCACACAGACATCAAGAATCATCATACAGAATCAGCATATGAATCTCAACAATGGTGACAAAAAAACCCAAGATAATAGTCACAAAAAAGCGTTCTTGATTGTCACCATTGTTGAGATTCATATGTTGATTCTTGATGTCTCTGTATGCCTAAAAAAAAAAGAAGAAAACACACAGCTCAATACATTTTGTTTATTGATTTAACTTAAATTAGAATACCATATTGTCATAACATTGTAAGACTGGAAAACTGGTTGAAGGAATCAACCTCACCACAGATCTGTAAGACAAAGGACCTTGCTTGCAAATTAACATCTGAACACCTCTCACACACACACTCCTGCATCCCCCACTCTTGCAGAGATCACCCACACTCACATAAGAATATATATATGGTTTCATGTGAATGATTATTGTGTTTAGTATCATTTTAAATTTTCCAGAGTGAGTGGTTCAGATGTCTCATTCCAAAAGAGTAAAACAAAAGGTAATAAGGTTTTTTAGAAGTTTAGAGATGACACACAAAGGAAGGTGGACTTTAGGCAAATGGCCTTTCTCCCCTACCTCCAAAATAAGGTGTAACCTGAATGCAAATTACCATTGTAAAGAAGTTTTGGCTATTTAATGGAATGCAGCAAGGGATCATGGCTCTTTCTGTATCTCAGATCAGCCCGTGGATGCTGAGTCGCCGAGACTCAGCATTCATGTATTTCATGTCGGGTAAAAGATTTTCCTCTTTGTTCTAGAACATTTGATGATTTGCATTGATTATCTTTCAATTGATTATGGAATTGTTATAATACATTTACCTGACATAATAAATTGTTATATTTGATTATTCTAACAGACTTTGACTTTATTTTCATTGGAGTTAAAAGGAATAGTCAAACATTAACGTATACTTAATGATGCACAGATATCATTGAAAAACTTTTTCATTTTATGGAGTCAGATGAAACGAGTTAATACATAAAATAAAATGTATTGCATTTAATTAAAAAATCCCTTTGCCATTGGAAGAGATGGAACGCGTTGAGACCTTCACCGCTAATTTGAATGCCGCCATTGGATCAAATTAGTCGGACTTACAAATTGGTGAACATCATGAGGCTACTATAATTCATGTGAAATTAAAGGCTAATATTTTCAGAGATTTGACCCTAAGATTAGTGAATCAAGCCACTACATGATGACGATATCATAACCAATATGTGACCAACATAATCTGATGAGATTTGCTCCTTCATTTTTGGCCATATCAAACATGTGTCAGAGACACATAGTTAAAGCAGCAAATATAACTATGTTAAAAAGGCAAGGGTCAAGAGCCCAACTAATGCAAACACTGATCACCATAATGGTCACATCAAATGTCTCCATTTAAACAACAAAAATGCGATTTTGTGAAAACGGTGATGTCATGTGCATGCGTATTACATGTTCACAAGGTGTTTCTTTCGAAAAATGACATCGCCACCTACTGACCTGGCATGTATAATACAGCCTTTTTAGTCATTTTCACAGTTCCGTTGTGAACAGGGATAGTTTTTGACAACATTGTTGTCTGTTTTTAGTACATCGTTGTTGTGTAAACATACCCTTAGACTGCCCCCATTAGACTGTCATAAATACACATACAACTTTTCAATCTCACTCAACAACAGTTCCTCACATAAAGCATCACATCCCGAAGATTTGGAAAATTTTTGCCCCATGATAAACAAAATTAATGAAATGTTGCATGATTATGGTTAAATGATCACAGAAATTTTAATCAATTCAATATTTTAAACTGTAGTATTGTTTAAAATTTATCTTTGAAATGCAAAGTCATAACCAATGAAACGTTATCATTTCAAATCATTATGAAATTAAACTGTAAATCAGTCATGTCAGCTGCATTTAAGTGCACTTAATTGGCCCAAGGTCACAATCCTGATTTGCCATCATTGCCACACATGGCCCAGCTCTGGCTGAAAGGGGACATGCCATTGCCCACAGGAGGCCACCACCCACTAAGCAAAATTATGTTCAAAAGGCATCTTTTCAACGTATTTGTCCCAAAAGCGTACATTGAAAAAACATCCAAGAGGAGCCAGAATGAACTTTTTTTTTTTACGTGTTCTGAAAAAATGTGTTTTTATGAATGGGTTGCTCTAACTGTGTTGCTCTGGTCTCCGTCAACAACACGTGCTTACACCCCCTGCTGGTGAGGTCGACTAACAGCAGATGGAGATTATGCTCGGTAATCTACTGCTTTTCCTGAAGTTCCTGGTTGTCAATGTTGAATTTACTGTAGAATTTGAACCACTGAACTTGTGGAAGCGAATTTGCAAAGCGGAATAAAATGAAACAAAAATTGCCTGTTGAATATTTCAGGTTGGGTTTTTAAACAGTTTGAATATTTTGGAAGTGAAATATTAAAGGTGAATATGGATTATTGAATTTTTAATAATGAAAATGTGTTTGAAATGTTTTGAATTGAAATATTCACAGCTTAAATATTCAACCATGCTGAATTTCAGCCCATAAAAATGCAAGCCCTAAAAATACAATGCATTAGAATGCAAGCATGGTTAATGCAATGCATATTTTTTCAAGTAGTGCAATTCAACAGGCTTTTTTGTTTCAAGAACATTTCGCATTAGTATTTTCCTTCCATACTGTGTCTTGCAGCTGCAACACGCGCGCGCGTACGTGTGAATGCGGGCCGAGCCTCGTGTCTCTTCTTTAAATATCTCTCTATCGGCTGAGACTCTCGCTTACGGCCATACCACCCTGAACACGCCCGATCTCGTCCGATCTCGGAAGCTAAGCAGGGTCGGGCCTGGTTAGTACTTGGATGGGAGACCGCCTGGGAATACCAGGTGCTGTAAGCTTTTGCTTTATCAATTCACTAATAGCCACACTTCATGGCTCGGCTCATGGTTCTTCCTTTATCCTTTTCAATTCAATTGCTTCATTTATTAGTCTTTCATGTTGCAATTCTCTCTGGCTTCTCTCTGCTTTCGGTGTGGTAAAGGACAGCTCAGCCTCGCCACTCTCTCTTTCTCCTCCAGGGGGCGATCGACAGGCTTTTCTCTCTCAGTCTACAAGCAACACACAACTCTGAGCGCTTGTTCTTTTGTAACCCGCTCCTTTCCTCAGCTTCTTTTAGACCAGAGGTTCCCAAACTGTTTTTTTTTTTTTTTTTTTTTGTCAGCCGAACGCTCAGATTTTAACTTAATATTTCAATAATTCCACATTCATGGTTTTCTTACGTTGGGAACGGTCACAAGAAGACATGCAGGATATTGAGTCTTTTTTGTGTGTGTAAATGTTTTATTTTATTATGCATGCATATGGCTGTGAGTATAGGGCCTATTGATATTATTATTATAATATTGTTTTAAGTCTAATTATATAAATAAATTACAATAGGTTCAACTGTCCTGTGACAGTTTTAGAAGTTTAAGAAGTTACAGTCCCTCCTCTCTTCTTTCCCTCTACACATCAACGCTTCACACTCCGTCCCAGTAGGGGGCGCAAACGCGGCAAAGCTCGTTTTCCAACCGCGATAAAATTCAAAAGAAGAAGAAGAGGAGTAGAGGAAGCGAGTTTGGATCGAGACGTTTCAATAATGCAGCGATTCGCATCGTTTTAAACTTGAAGAAGACTCAAAATGAGCGGGGAGAACTCCGGGTTTAACAACTCAAATATGTGTGATAATATTGTAATGATGGAGTATATTAAAGTAGAGATTGTGGACATGAGTGATCCAGAACAATGTAGCGTGAAAGATGAAGATACTGATGAACAAAGAGGTTGGTGTCTGTTTTCATCAAATCATCACACGCTTCTTTACCTTTCTCGGCTGTAGAAAGAAGATCTGAGGTGCTGTTGTTAAATAATCTCAGCTCAGGGGTGTTACTTGTGCTGGAGATCTACTTTCTTGCAAAGTTCAGCTCCACCCCTTATTAAATACAGCTGGACTAGCTAACCAATATCTTCAGGAACACTTGATAATTATACATATTGAATTTATATATTTAATATATTATATTGAAATATTTGGGCATTTGTAATTACTTTAAAGGTGATTTTGAATACATGCAGGGTAAGTGCAAATGCATATATTATATATTCATATAAGTTACAAATAAACTAAGCTATCAGGCTAATTAGGTATCTTTATGTTACGCTGGTATGTAATGTTATGCTAACTAATACAGACATTAATGGTCATTATAACGTTGTTCAAACTGAATTTATCATAGCTATTAAAAGTATTTTGAGCCAATGAGATTGCTTGGGGTCCTAATAGAGACCCCATTTCGAAGGAGGACCTCATTTTGTTACCAAAACAGCTTGTCGAATTAGAAAAAATGTAGTCCCGACCTCGTGCCAACATTACATCAAGAAAAAAAGATGATGTTGCAAGAGCAACGGGAAGTTATTGTGATGAAATAATAAATATTGTGATTTTTTTTTTTTAAATTGTCGTGTACTGATGAATCATTTATAATAAGTACTAAGCTGGGATTACTGCGCGTTCTGGTGTATGTTGGAAAGTAGAGGTGGGCATTGGGCAATACTGTAAAATTTGGTATCGATCCGATCCGACTTTTTACTTTTAAAAGCAAGGCTCGAAATTTAATTTGTGCGACCTCAACATTTTCATGACCACTAAAAGATTTTGTGATTTGTGCTCTTACTGTGCCTGTAATTTATAATGTGTAGTGTATGTTAAAACCCAGGATACATTTTAAGCCAAATAAAAAAATATTTGTATTACTGTAATAAGCTGAATTGCAAACATGAACTTTGCACCAAATTATTACTGGAGAATAGTAATAATGGTAAATGGAGTGCATTTATATAGCGCTTTCACAGACCCAATGGGCCACAAAAGCGCTTTACATATTGCCTCACATTCACCCATTCACTCACTCATTCACACACCGACGGCGGTGTCAGCCTTGCAAGGCGCCATCCAGCTCGTCGGGAGCAGCTGGGGTTAGGTGTCTTGCTCATGGACACCTCGACACTTGTTGTTGCAAACCTGTATGAGTTTCTTTCTTCTGCTGAACACAAAGGATTTTTACAAAGGACATTATAATTCTCAATCTTTGGTTTTTAACCCCAAATCCCTCTTGTGTCCAAGGAAATGTTCCCTGAGACCCCTTTAATGCCCTGTCACCCTGTTACTACTGAGTTAAAAGGTTTTTGTTCAGAAATAATAACATGTTTACATTTTTCCCTTTTTGCAAATAATTGCACTTCTTCTTAAAGCCCTGCACGGGCCTCAAATCTAGGCCCGACCCGTGTCCGAGACGCTCAGGCCCTGGCCCGACCCGTGTCCGAGACGCTCAGGCCCGACCCGTGTCTGACAGCTCATCAGAATTCTCAGCCCGAGTCCAAATGGAGCCTGTTTTTTTCTGCGTTACACAGCCTGCCCTATACTACTGTTGCAGCCATTAAAAAAATTACAGTTTTATTACTGTAGCCTAGTTGTTTCTTTTCATTTCTTTATTAAGTTAATTTAGACAATTATTATTATTTTTTTTAAATGACGATCAAGTGCCCGACAGCGAGTTAAACATGTTTGATCAATTTAGCCTCTCAAATCAACACTTTACTTGGCAACAATACAATCCATAGATATAAAACACTTCAAGCATATCACAGAGACAGTTAGTTTAAACGTTTATTATCAACCATAGTAAAACGAGACTTTTGATAAGCAGAGGCAGGCTGCTCTGCTGTGTGAAAATTGGCCCTCAGCCCGGCCCTAGGGGGGTAAATAAGTCGGGGCCCGTCGGGGTCGGGCTGAAATGCAGGGCTTTACTTCTTCTCTGGCTTACAGTTAGTCCTGCCTTCGAGAAAATCCTTCCTGCAGGAACAGATGAAGCAGTGATTCCCAGGTGTTCTTGGCAATCTTGCTAAGACAGGGGAATGTTGGCTCATTCATTTTCCCCCAAAGTAGTGGGTCTTGATCCCGTGGAATTGGCTTTTCTTCTGAGTACCGGCACATTTCAATTAAGACATCAGTGCCAGATGCTGCTGGGATGCAAGGACTTGGGAGTCAAACTTTGACCGTATCCCACCTTTTGCTGCAGAGGAGCTTGAGGTAGTTCCAGTAGCCATTGCTGAGGCAGAGCTAATGGCCGAGCATGAGCTTGATTCAGGAGCTGATATGAAGTGGCTGAGGTCTGGTTCATTAACTGAATTTCAGTGACGAGCCGTCCTTTCAGAGATTCAACATTTGCCATGTCGCGGAACCCAAGGTTTTTAAATCTGGCATCCAGGTAGGCACTGGTTTAAATAGGTTATAAAAGGTTTCGATACCTCTGAAACGATGCTGGCATTGTGCTGACATCTCAGCAGCCAAATCGGTACTGAAATTTAAAAAAACTTTGAGCGCTGTTGAGCGGAATCGTAAACACCTCTGATTGGCCATTGTGTTCACGTGCTCATCGTATATGTCTGTGATTGGCTACATGTTGTAAATATACATCATGACGCTCTTCAACGAGCGTTTGAACAGATACACATGGGAGCGTTTGAAAGCAGGCATTTATCGGCGGACCGGTCCACTGATAGACGCCTGCTTGTTCTTCTTAAACGCTCCAGCTCCCGTTTTTTAAAACACTTTCAAACACTTCCGTGCGTTGATCATTGTAGCCAATCACAGACATATCCGATGAGCACATGAACACAATGGCTAATCAGAGGTGTTTACAATTCCGCTCAACAGCGCTCAAAGCGTCACAATTTTAAAATTTGAAGTCTGTATTTTTTTGACAACTCTACTTGCTACCTTGGCACTCATGAGATGCAGTTGATCTCAGAATTGGTGACACCTGGGGAATCACTTTTGAAACTGAAACATGTTTTCAGTCGATATCTCTCTTGTTACTTCTTCAAATGGTTTCAGGGCATCAATGGAGAAACTGACTGTGAACCAATCTTCCTCACTGAAGCACAGGGAGGTCTTATCAGTTTGTGTTCCTGAACTACTTTGAGCTTCTCTGCTGCTCTTGTGCTGTGGTGAAAGAAAGCTACAACAGCAGTGCATCTCTGCTGTATGTGAAGGAGATCAGGAAGAGCCTCAATGGAGTCTTTTAACACTAAATTTAGGATGTGTGCAAAACATGGATAATTTGCCTAACCCGCTTTGTACACAGCAGCAACAATATTGGCATCATTATCTGTGATAACAGCCTGAACTTTGTCTGTTATGCCCCATTCATGAGTGACTCTTTTAATTCTGAGCAAATGCTGTCCTGAAAAACGACAGGTTTCTAGGACATATGCTTGCCAGTTCTCATCAATAATGAGTTAAATAAGCCTCTGTGGCTCTTGATGTCCACATGTCTGTTGAGTACAACACTGTTTGCACCATCTAGAGATTTTTTTTCACTCTTGAGCGGCACTCATTCATATTTTCCCTTCCATGAATTTTTTCCTACTTGTAATCCTGTAGCGTGGATCGTGTGTCCTGACAAAATTCCTAAAACCCTCAAAGAGAGAGGTTGCAGGTTTTTGCAATCATTTCAGCAAGGCTCCTTGTAATATCCATAGCTCTTGTATTGGGGAAATCATCTAGGTGAAATAACTAAATAATTTAATCTAGCCATAAGCCTATCTACATGTAGTTTAAATATAGGAATCCTATAGTGTTGTTTTCATGGGTAACACAAAAGGAATATTCAGCCCAGGGCTCGACATAAGCAATGGCCCGATGGCCCGGGGCCAGTAAAAGAGTATGTCGGGCAAGTTGATTGGCCAGTCACTGGCCATCAGCAAAATAAACAACAAACGTCATACACAGTGGCGCGAAGAGTGTAATGGTGTGTTCACACCGAACGCGAATCGAGCGTCAAATACGCGTCTATCGCGTCTAGTTAGACGCTTGAACATTCGCTCGAGTTCAAATTTTTCAACTTGCGCGGAAGACATTCGCGGCAAACGCGTCACCCAATTCGCGTCATTCGCAACGCCCGGCGCAAATGATGCGTCTATTCCATAGGTCTATTCGCGTCTTTGCATTGACTTTGTATGTAGGCTAATCTACTCGCGCAAATAATTAAATTCTCGTTCGGTGTGAACACACCATTAGTGTTAAAATGTCAAAGAACTACGAGGCTGATACGAGAAAGAGGACATTCCCAGTGTCATGGAAAACACAGTAGGGCCCGGCCTACACTGGTAGGTACCGAAACCCGGTATTAAACGAGCCCGGGGCAGGAATTTTGTAAGACCGCTGTATCGATAAGCTCGGACGTTATTGGCTCTGCTGTCGGTACTGGAGAAATACACGTAGGCGGGGTGATCATCCGACGTTATTGGTTTTTTTTTTTACCATCTCGCTGAGTCACCAGCCATTTCTGGATATAATAATATTAAACCATTAGTCTGTGATGCATTTTTGCTATTCGCAGTCCAGATAGGGAGATCTCTCACGCGGTGCCACAGCACGACAGCCCAGCTTAATGAGTGACCACAGAGCAGAGGACAGAACTAAACATTCAAACGTAGCACACTTTAGATCTGTGATATTACTCTGATTTTATTTTAGATTTCGGCTTCCAAAGATTATAGAATATTTGAGGTAAAACCATTAAAAACTATATAGCCGCATTCTGTCTAGCGCAACTTCCTTCCCATCGCAGCAGTATGCTGCCATTTCACCTTAAAACTAAAACTTTAAGACAGAATCAGCACGATCGGTGATTGTTGTAAAATGCAGTCTCTACTGTTGCTAAATTGCGGGACGCGTTTAATAATAAAAAGAGCTATTAAAAGCACAAAAATCTGCGCA